ATCTACTAAAAGTTTAATATCATGAATGACTCCTTCGAGACATATTTTATTCCATAGTTTCAACTCAACACTGCCGCGACAATTTTACACACACATCAATTACACTAGTTTACAAAATTGAACTTTTTTTTTATACCCCAAAATAAATGTATATAAATATGTTAATCTACCTTCCTTAAATCTAAAAGTATTAGCAAAAATATTTTATCACGTCACAATTTCTTCCTGCAGTCAAATGTTTATTTTCTAACTACCTAACGTGGTGACGACAGTTTATTGTTTATTCGTTCGCTTCAAACGACAATTATCTTGTTTCGGATTGATTTAAAATGTCGAGTAGAAAGTGTAAACAAAGATCTGATCGTTTTTGTTATGTTTGTGGACAGTTTATATTTTCAAAAAAGAGAAGACCCATTATAGATTCGTTAAAAAGTGCATATCTTCATTATTTTGGATTTCCCGTTGCAAATCAAGATAAAAAGTGGGTTCCTCATGTGTTTTGCGAAAGCTGTAGAATCGTCTTACTCCAGTGGTCATCAGGAGAAAACGTTCACCTTCCATTTGGTTCTCCAATGCTATGGAGAGAACCTAGTAATCGTGAAAATGATTGTTACTTTTGTGTTACGAAGACATTGGGATATAATAAAAAAAATAAAGCAAGTATTATATATGCCGATGTTCCGTCTGTTACTAAGCCCATATTACATTCGAAAGATCTACCACATCCAGTTTGTCCTGGTAATTCGAGTGCAAATATACTAGATGACAATGAAAGTGATGTTGAATTCAAATCGATTTCTAGTGATTCTGACGAGTTCTCACTTCAAGAAAAGATTCCACATTTAATTAACCAAGCCGAATAAATGATCTTACAAGAGATTTACAATTATCAAGATCTAAAGCAGAGCTTCTTGGTTCCCGCTTACAACAGTGGAACTTATTACTACCAGGCACAAAAGTTACGTTTTTCAGAAACAGAAGCAGTTTACTCAGAATTTTTCAAAAAAGAAGGTGAATATTGTTATTGTGCTGATATCCCGGGACTTTTTGAAGCAATGAATCAAAACTATGATAAAACAGAGTGGCGCTTATTCATAGACTCTTCGAAATATAGTCTAAAAGCTGTTTTATTACATAATGGTAATAAAAAACCGTCCATACCAATAGGACACGTAGTGAATTGTAAAGAGAGCTATGAAACGATGCGTATTTTAATTTTAATAAAGTATAAAGAACACCAATGGAAACTGTGCGGCGACCTAAAGGTCATCGGTATGTTATTGGGATTGCAGGGTGGTTACACAAGATACTGTTGTTTCCTTTGTTTGTGGGACAGTAGAGCGAAACAACATCATTATGTAAGAAAAGAATGGCCTATTCGGAATGAGTATATTCCGGGCAAAATGAACATTAAACACGAGCTGTTGGTAGATCCCAATAACGTCACTCTACCCCCTTTACACATCAAATTGGGGCTCATGAAAAATTTTGTGAAGGCGCTTGACAAAAACAGTGATGCTTTCCCGTATTTACAAAAAATCTTTCCAAACATTACAGAAGGAAAACTGAAAGAGGGTATATTTGTTGGCCCACAAATCCGTAAAATTATGAAAGATTCTCAGTTTGAAAGCCTTTTATCTGTTAATGAAAAATCTGCTTGGAAGTCATTCAAAATGGTTGTGGAAAATTTTTTGGGAAGCAAAAAAAGTTAAAATTACAAAGAAATTGTTACCGATTTATTGGAAAATTTTCAAAAGATGGGAGTAAACATGTCATTAAAGATTCATTTTCTGCACTCGCATCTAAGTTTTTTCCCTGAAAACTTAGGAAGTATGAGTGACGAACAAGGGGAACGTTTTCACCAAGATTTAAAGGTTTTTGAAGAACGACATCAAGGATTTTGGGATGAAAACATGTTAGGAGATTACTGTTGGTCCATTATAAGAGAAACTGATTCAAAAAGCTATAAAAAGAAGGCAAAAATTAGTCATTTTTAATTTTTTTTTAGTATTAATACCAAAATTATGTATTTCAGTTAAGTTAATAAATATTTCTTAAACCAGACGTCACCGAATTTTTTTATTATTTTTTCTGGATAATTCTAGCTAAATGAATAACAAAATAACAACTTTCAGCTGGGGTATGAAAACCGTGTAAACTAGTGTTATTTAAGACACTCATATTAAAACAACAACGCGTGATAATGTGTATATGCCGTATTACGTTATGTAAGAATTAGGAAATGGGAGTGCTTTACCATGTTTATTTTTTCTTTACATAGACAGAAGTGAAAGTGTGCCTGGATTATCCCATACTGCTACTTAATTTATTTCTCAAGTAAACAGCAATTTTAACCCTCAAATGAAAGTTAAATAAGTTGTTTTGGAAACATCTTTCAATTCCTAAATAAGTGTGAGACTAGAGCTAACAAGGATTACGCAAGATAATATTAAAAATAAAGGATAATAGGAGAAAAGCACTGCCATGTGCCATACAAGCCTGCATTTGAGTATTACAAAGTTAAAACTTTGACACATATTAAAAACGCAAAATGTACCGTGGCCCGTAGTTATTGAAAATTCTACGTAAACGTAACCAGAAGCGCTCGTATGAGAGTGAATTTTACACTCTCATACTAGCGTTTCTGGTTACGTTTAGATATGGTTGGTCTCGGATCTTTATTCCCTTTCTCAATTTCGTCTTTATCTTTCTGTCCTAGTTCCTAAAGCCGCGTTACTTAATTCAAAGATTTTTTTGTCCTTAACTGGCTTAAATGAATCTTTATGAAAATTCCAGTAAGATTTCGTAGCATATTTAATCCCTTAAACCAACATTATCTCCATGAAATAGAATGTTTATATTTTTTTTTAAGGATCCGCAATTAAACACATAAATTCATCAATGTTTTTATTACTATTTTTGTATCCTTATAAATTGTTAGATAACATATTCAAATACATCTACAATTTGATAGTTAATTACACAACCCTTTTGTTAACTACTTGTAGAATGGCGTCGTTTTAGAACTTCACCAAAGTATTTTAAATACATAAAATGTATCTTTGGCTGTAATTACAAACATAACATTTAATGCTTTTATTTACATCGTTAAATATTTACAAATTTTCATCTATTATTTACATTTTATAATTAAACGTGATTAATCAATTAAATCTTTAAATATAAAGGTATAATCGCCCGTCTCTATAAATCGTCTATAGAAAAATTAACATTTTATACAGTGGAAAATGCCTTTGATATTTTTTACTACTTAAGATTAAAACAGATGTACAAAGATGTACAGATGTACAAAGTAGTTGAAGTAGAAGATTTAATATTGACGTACACAGGAGCATAATTACGTCATGTTTACTTTTCTTTCTACTCGAGATCTCATAAAATTGTCGTTGGCTGTGCTGCTAACATAAGTAAGTAAGTAAGTAACGCATAATAAAAACAAAACTAACCGAGAGCACTGTTTAGTACCAATTTGGTGAATCTTGTACATGAAATGAACTTGAAAGAAATGAAACCAAAGTACGTAATTTCATTCTTGCTGTCACTCGGAATAACTTTTTGTTAGGATGCCTTTTATTCGGGTTTATAAAGCAACCCCCATTCTAAACTTTGATTGTACAATTTCACTTAGCAATAAGACTGAGTTCAAATTGCAAAAGGAAAGTGAGATTATGAAGAAAAAACACAATTTAAACTAAGAATTAAATTACATTTTCTACAAGATTTATTTAATTGTAGTACTAAAGTAACCGCTAGGGGACAAGTTTCCTTTATGCAAATTCAGGTTCAAATGTCTTACACATTTCAAAACTCGTCAGTGTCTAGAAACTTTCAACGGTTCATTCGCAAGCTACTTTGAGATTGACGACCTCTGCAAACTCTTAGATCTTTGGTATAAAATGAAGTGAAATCATCTTGTGGTGGCTAAGAAGTCAACTGAATTGCGTCTTATTTTACGATAGGCCAGTCTGGAGATGAAATCGTTTGTAGAATTATCCTTAAATAAATATATTCCTGGTAAACAACAGTCAAGAGAACTTGAGAAAGTAAATAGCGATAATAGAATTTAAAATTCTCAACGATAACAATGAGCATTGCGGTATAATTCAATCTCTCAATATTTTATCTCTTCAAAAATTGACGCACAAATTAAATTAAACTTTATTTGATTCAAACAAGAAAGAAGAAATATCAAAACAATGTCTTGTTAGGTAACTTTTGTTAATATTTGCCTTAATATCTTTTTTTTTTGGCCAAATAAAACATGTATTTTCAACAGTTTTGAAAGTCGTGACCATGCCTGTCAAACTTTTACATCGAAGACCAGAATAACCATTTTTCTTTCCAAATTGCTCCTTTCAAGATTGCTGTAAAACTCAATAGCTTGTGTTTGATAGAAATTGCTTCTTGTATTACTTGTTTCTACATTTAATTAAACAACCTCTTTGCTTTTCATTACTTGTAGTCTCTCTTAGATTGTGAAGCTCGGAGCAACTGGCGGCTTAGACATGAACCCCTCTTGCTTCTATTTAATCTCGCTATATTCTTGTTTGTATAAGGAAATCGATTCGCATGTAATCTACTAAAGGATTAACATTACCAGCAGTATCTGCTAGGACGAAAGAGAACAAACTTCAAATGTACGTAAGTCATCAGATGGGTTATTACGTGCACGTCACACTAATCTAAACGGTCTGAATTTTTCGCAATTGCTATCGATCTGGCCCATAATATACAGTTATTTCCAGATCTTTTAACAAAAATAACAATTACAAAGTGTCACCTATACTATTGATTTATTAATTAACATTCATCCCAGGAAACAATTATAACTATACGATCGTTGTATTCGTAAATTTAACAATATTTCAAATCAGATAACGAAGGTCCAATCCCCGAAACGCAATTTAGCTTGTTCACTCAATCGTTTAAAATACTTTCTCAGTTCAAAACATTTGGAAGATCACTTTTTCACTAATAGGTCATCTTGAAGACGTCGACGTCGCTTCGGAATAAGTTGTCGTAAATTTTGATAGGAATTTTATGGGCGTATTAACGAAAAGAAGTAAAATAATAAACGTGGAAATAGTGGTGTAGTATGTAAGGATAAGGAAAGTTAGGACGAGGGTAGGTTTGGGCTGTCGCAGCGTAGTTATGATGGCAAAAGACATCAAGATGCCGCGGCTTAGGCGCGGTGGCGTTGACCCGGAGCTCTGCATGGCAGCCGGTCTCTCCCCACTCAGTACGTGAACGATCACCGACGCTGACTCTGTATAACAATAAACGATATTGTTAACTTTTTGTTTTGAATAAATATAACCATTTTAAGTTTATGATTACATGTATCGGTAAATTACTTATATTACTTAGCTAGCTATATAGCTTACAAGGAAAATATGTGCTTAATATAAGTAGGTATGTGTATTACTAGAAGGTAACTGAGAAATGCCCATTACTGAGGTATATTTATTTATTTATTATTATTATTATACCAAAATGAAAATCAGAAACATTTTGGTCGTATAAAAAGAGATTAAGTTGCAAATTAGTTTTGACTCTTAGGCATTATTCGTTTTATCTGTGACAACGCTATTGCAGTATGTCCGACTTCTTCGACTTCAAAGTCCTAATGTCAGTAAATATTCTGTATTGTAATCAATATTCTACAATTTAGAGTAAAAATGAAATGATTTTACTATGTAACACTGACGAAATGACGACGTGATTAATAAGATTTACTTATATTACCTAATATTTTTCTGATCACATACAAATTATCGTTGTCTCACTTGTGACTAATCGCAGTAGACTTTTTAAAAGCATTCATTATTTTTGCAACCGTATGAACAAATGAATGCATCAATTCTGTTTAAAAAAACGTGAATACATGTGTTAACCTTCACTATACTATCGTCTTTATATCGTTGCATCGTCGTATTATATTGTCCGTCCGTCCGTTCGTTTTAACTATATTGATATCATATTATATTTTTGTTTTTTATTTCAGAAAGTACAAAGGATCAGCAACATACATTTTCAACAGTCCTCCAAGTTCCTTTTTAAAGTGTAGGTATGGTAATGGTATTCTAAACTATAATATCCCACTTGACTTACTGAATTTGAATAATTGAAAACCAAATGTCTCACAGCGTCAAACTGGCGCTCAACATAAACGTAAGTTTAGATTTACCTTAACTGGGACTTAACTAAATAATATATTGTTCCGGCTACATTTTTCCAGGCTTTTCAAGAATTCCAAAAAAACTCTATACAAATAGAACGACACTACAGTAACAGCTTTAGTAGATAAATAACTCATTGAGTTGGCCAGCAAATTTTGGCTGCGGGATAATGTTATTTATAAACGATCGTCTGCTCGCGGTTCACAGGCTACACTTCTCATTCGGTATGGTACGGTTCGGTACGGTCTTCTCAGAGCGTACGGTACTCAAAATTCCTTCTTGAAAATACTATAGAGTACTAATAAAAATTGATTCTATTACAAGTGGCAGTACAAGGAAACCATTCCGAGGCAGTAGACCGTAGTTATGGTTGACTTTCGGAATGGTTTTTCTTGTACTGCCACTTGTAATAAATAAGTCTAGTCTTTGTTTTTCATGACGAAAGCCGAACTAACCAGGTTTTGATTTTGAATAATAAAAATAGTCAATCTCTAAGTTTATTTTTCGATGCCATTTTTTTTTTTCAGAATTCATATAAAACTATATTTAACATAAGCTTTAGTTGTTATTCCTTTATTAAATCTTACTAAGATGTTTAGATATTTAACAATTCACCAATTCACAGTCAAGTGTATTATTCATTATAAAAAGAACAATTTTTTAACGAATCCTTAAGAGAAATTATCAAGCATTCTGTATACACTCGGTAATTTCCTACAATCGGATTCACACAGCGAGCCATTATTAATAACATAACCCCAGATTTATATATATTTTCTAGCATATCAAAGATAAATATAAAATCCAAATTAAAGCAATATTTTTTAAGTTTTGTTTCAAATTATTTAGTATTTTTATACGTTTAGGTTGTATATTATGTTAAGTAAACTTAGTAAATGTAAGACCTTTTTTTCTCTTTTGTGTTGTATCTTTTCTATTTGTTATTCCTATAGTTTTGATTTGTATATATAGTATAGACAGACTCAAGATAGCACAGGTATAGACCTTGGTGGTTTTTTAGTTGCAATAATTGTATTAGTCACTGTGATTATTTTGTAAACAATAAAAAATACAAAAACACGATGATAATATTGTGTAATATGACCAAAATAAATTAAGCTCTGCTCTATGATATTGCAGTGTAATTTAACAATAGTAGTTTCGGGGTATCGTTAGCATGTAATACGCAATAAATAAACTTAGAAAATTTACACATTTGCAACTTTATACCTAGATTAATGTTAGCACGTAAATTAGTTTTAACTGCCTTACTACATAATACCATGACTTTATAGTGTGTGAAATCCTAATAGTGCATTAATATAAGATGCGAACAGCAATAAATAGTAACATTAACATCTCTGTAATGAGCATTAAGTGCTTATGTAACGTAATTCAACAATAATTATGATCGAAAATAAATACATCTTTGTCACCACAGAATATGGTAATCAAAACATATTTTTTTTACAAGTAAAAACATTGAATTATTTTTACCTATGGTTCTCATCACAATTTTCTACGCAAAATGTATGAAAAAGTTTATAGTTACTGAATGATCAGGTCCGTGTGGTGACGGATTAAGAATACAAATTGTCACCACCCCAATTCATCCCGTGGGTGTCGTAAGAGCCGACTAAGGGAGCAAACTAAGCAGGACAACAGCACTGCAAAGAGAAGGAAAACTTGAAACAAACCCTATACCAACCCGTCTGGCCAGCGTGGTATAGTAGGCCAAAACCTCCTTTCTAAGGAGAGGCCTATGTCCAGCACTGGACTAGTATAGGCTGTTGATGATGATGATGATGAATGATCAGGTACGATTATATAAAAATAGCGTATGAAATACTATCAAACCCTGATTATTTTTTGTATATGAGAAGCCCATAAAAATTGTGTAGTTATATATTCGTATATATACTATCAAGTTTGAACATGAGAAAGTTTAGAAATTTATATTATACATCAAGGCCGATGAATTAGGGACCTTGGGTTATAATTTTTGTAGAGAGTAAAAGAGCTTCATAAGCATGTACTGAAGTATAATCTTTTGTCATTGGGTTAAAGTAGCAAGTTAGTTTTATAAAGTTAAAGACTTTTTAATTGTTCTTTCAAACGTTAAACGATGTCGAGTAAAAGTTGGCAGCGTTCGAACAGTCGTGTGGGTACAATATAGCAATAATTTTAATCTACTTTGTAAGAATCTCGACTGGAATAATTACACAGCGATGTATCTAAAATACTTTTATTTATCTTCTAATTTGTTGTGTGGAAATTTATGAGCATTGTTCTGAGTTCACAGTGCAGAACAATTTGTTTGTTTTTAGATTACTACCACTTTCAAAATAAAAGAAGAAAAAGATAATATTGGTACTTTCATGTACTTGTTCATTTACTATAATTATCACTGAGCCTATCTCATAACATTGTGAAGTGAAATTAGTAAGGAATACTCTTAATTCGTATAAGTGTGTTGTGAGCCGTCTAAATGAAGATCTTAATAACACCTTACAGTTAAATCCATGGAAAACAATTCATCTAGCAACAACAATTTCAATAAACATACGAGTATACGTTTTAGTGGATAGTACACAACTTTAATAATTTGGGCAAAATCGATAGTCGTAACAGTGAAATATTGACCCGTTTCCCGACTTTAATTGGTTATAAAATTTATGCGTTCGCTCTAATTCTCGACTCAAACGCCATGCGACGCGAGGGCCCTTATAATTGTATAAATAATTATGCTCTGTAATTCCTAGTAACATGTTTATGAGGTTAGTGATTTATTATTAAAGCCGTTTCAGTAGACTTTTACATCAGTTTCATAAACATGTGGATTAAATACTTCAAAATTAAATTATATTACTTAGACTCATTAGATACTTAGATTACTTAGACTTTAGTTATGTTTTAATGGTATATTGGCATAAAAGTCATAAGTATGTTGGCAACCTTTGTGGGCCTGTGCCAGAATAAGGAGAAATGGAAGAAGGAGGGAGTTGGTTTTCCGTTAGTCTCACTAACCCGGTGAATGCAACGAGATAATCCCTAAGCACAAATTTTGTTTTTGGAGGTTTCAATACTGCGTGTCCATAAATATAAAAATTAATAAACAAATAATTCAACTGCACGGATGGCGTAGTGATTTAAGAAGTCACCTCATTGATTCCTACTGCCCTGAGTGTTGTTTGTTTGATCCCCACATGGGACACCACTTTGTGTGATCCACAAATGGTTCTTCGTGTGCGCCTCATGTATGTCTGTAAAATCCACTGCGACACAGGTTATATTCCTAACTAGCTGACCCGCGCAACTTCGTCTGCGTCTCTAAATAGTAATAAATCTCCGTTTTTTGAAACATCCTTCATTGGTGCTCCGCTCCTATTGGTCTTAGCGTGATGATATATAGCCTATAGCCTTCCTCGATCAATAGGCTATCTAACACTAAAAGAATTTTTCAAATCAGACCAGTAGTTCCTGAGATTAGCGCGTTCAAACAAACAAACAAACAAACAAACAAACAAACAAACAAACTCTTCAACTTTATAATATTAGTATAGATGCGGGCGTTGTCATTAAAAAAAACCGTAGCCAACAAATGCAGCCCACATTAAAAGACATTCGAAGCGACAGGTCAAAATTATCATAGACTTGTTTAAATAATTCCCAATGTCCTGTTATGTGTAGAATCGGTTGGAAAATTCATTACTAGAAGCAATATACTACATTGTTAAAAAGTAATGATACTAGCATGTTGTCCCTCTGAAATGTTCATTTTTTTTTTTAGAAGAGGGATAAGAGGGGGTTTAACTTCACAAACACCTAAGAGTTACCAAAATGCATGTTTTGTCAAAATCACAAGACGAAATCGTTAGATCCCTTCCAAAAGACAAAAAATCATCAGAGCTCGAGTCACAGCTGCAATTCCACAAGAAATTCATGGTGGGTACGCAGTCCAGTAGAGTTGGATTGGGTAATGCTAGAAAACAGACCGACAAAGAGATTACAAAATCTTTCCTCCAACAAGATGAAAACGAGACCTACAAGGTGCACGCAATGAACCTAGAAATTTAGAATGAATGGTTAACTCTAGGAGAATTCAGTATCCCACCAGCTTTAAAATGGCGCACACTTTTATACGATTGGTCACCTGCCCTATTAAAATTTTACCTCCACGCCTTTCAATTAACTCTCCCCGATCAAAGAAACCTAGTAAGGTGGGGGAAAGCTACAGAAAAGGCTTGTATGGTGTGCCATCCGGAATGGGTACAGCCAGCTTGTAAGGCGCTATTAGACTGGGGTTGCCATGATAGGGTAATACAAATCCTACGCGAAGCTATGAGTTTATCACTGGTGAGAGCGAAAAAAGGAATAATAACAATCATAAGAACTACTCGTAACATCGAGTTTGTAAAGGAAGGCTCAACAAAAATGACTTCACAAAGGCCGTACTACATTATACTGAACTTTATTAGTGGACACGTATGAAAATCATTACAGAATACTGGAGGATATCTGTGCCTCGGCGTCCAGACCAGACATATTTCTTTATGCAATGTCAATCAATCGTGTGGTACTAAAACTCACGGTGCCGTGGGAAACGAACATCAATAAAGACTACGCTTTAATAAGAAACAAGTACTTTGACTTAACCAACGAAATAACTAAAAATGGTTATTTCTTTGCGTTGTATGCCGTTTAAGTGGGTGCGAGGGGTATACTAGCTAAATCCCTCTATAATCTGCTTAAAGATCTTGGATTGCAAAAACTTTCGGTAAGCTCTTCTCTAGAACGAATATCCAAAGCGGCATTGCTAGGCTCATATCAAATATGGTTAGGTAGAAGGGGTAACACAGCAGACAGTGGACGTGAGCGCTGACGCGTCGCGAGGAGTACTCACTAAACCTATCCTTGAGTAGCAATTCCCAGGCCCTGTCGAAGTCGCATGTGTTGCCTGCATGCATGCATCTATCACGCGATGGTCCCGGCACCCGCACGGTGAATCAATGGAATGGGTCTATCAAAATCATATGAAGAAATCGACCAATGTTTTGGTCAATTTATTATTTAGTTTAAATATGGTATTAATTAGGGTGAGTATCTATTTCGTACAAATACGATGGTCCGAAATTAAAATAACTGTTTAACATGAAGGTATATTTTGTGTTTGTGCGTTGCAATTCTCGAATATTACTCTTATGTTAGCTAAAGTTTATTATTAGAAATATGAAGGCATATTTCACAAGTTCAGTTCCGATCAACTTTCGATCTCAGAACTGTTATAAAAGGTATTTATGTATTGGAGTACAAATAAGTTTCCGCCGTTTTATTGTAGATGTCGAGAGTGGTTTCAAAAGTTTAAAAACGGTGATTTCGACGTAGAAGACAAAGATCGCAGTGGAAGGCCAAAAATTTACGAGGATGCAGAATTGGAGGAATTATTGGAGGAAGATTCATCTCAAACACAAAAAGAACTTGCTCTAACATTAGAAGTCACTCAGCAAGCAGTCTCACATCGTTTAAAATCATTAGGAATGATTCATAAACAAGGAAATTGGGTTCCGTACGAATTAAAGCCGAGAGATATTGAACGCCGATTATGCTTAAGTGAAATGCTGCTAGCTAGACATAAAAAAAAAGGTTTTTTTTACATCGTATCGTAACTGGTGATGAGAAGTGGATACATTATGACAATCCAAAAAGAAGAAAATCATGGGGATTACCTGGCCACGCGTCAACATCAACAGCAAAACCGAATATTCACGAAAAAAAAAATTATGCTGTGTATTTGGTGGGATCAGCTAGGTGTAGTGTATTATGAGTTGCTTAATCCGAGCGAAACAATTACTGGAGCCCTCTATCGAACACATTTGATGAGATTGAGCCGAGCTCTGAAGGAAAAACGCCCCACTACTATTCTAGACACTAAAAAATTATTCTTCTGCATGACCATGCTCGTCCACATGTTGCGGCTCCCGTGAAAAAGTACTTGGAAACACTTGATTGGGAAGTGTTACCCCACCCGCCGTATTCACCAGACATTGCACCGTCCGATTATCACCTGTTCCGGTCCATGGCACATGCTCTGACGGCGCAGCGGTTCACATCTTATGAGGATACCAAAAATTGGCTTGATTCGTGGATAGCCTAAAAAGACAAGGAGTTCTTCAGAAGTGGGATTCGAATGCTGCCTGAGAGATGGGAAAAAGTGGTTGCAAGTGATGGGCAATATTTTAAATAAATTTATATTACCGTTCTTCTATAATAAATATTTAATTTGTGTTAAAAAACGGCGGAAACTTATTTGTACTCCTGTATAGTAAAACACTAGAGTATTACTAAGACTAGCAGATTACTGATTCAATTTTCAGAATGGCCTTTTAGTATTCTCTCACATTCTGTTTCGATATTTGATTCCTGGTAAACACTGCAATCCCATTTCACGAAATCACTCGTTAACACTTAAGTGTTCCATGAAATGATTGCATACCGATACTATAAGAACTTCTACTTATATGTTTATTAAAATAAAGAAAGCAACAGAACATTGCATTAAATTTGATTGATTTAATTACGTCAATTATTAAACTTTTCACAATTAACTTAGTCATTCGTAATATCTACCCTACTACTTACTACGTGGGATAATAAAAGCCAATAAGTTTAACATTTGATCCATCAATTAGTTTCATAAATGAATTTTAATAATTTAATTTATGAAACTAATTGACTGATCAAATTTCAAATTTATTAGTGTTTATTATCTTATAAACAAATTTCAGACTTATTAGTGTATACTTTCATAAATGAATAATTTTAGTTATTTGGGAGATGCTGAAAATTATTTATTAATTGTGGTCGCTTTTACAAATTTAAAAAAAGGTATGTTGTTAACTATAACCAAATCTTATTGGTTTTAGAAGAAACATTTCACAAAAAAATCCTAAATTAACGGATATCGTGGGAGAGCGTAGAAGGACAGTCAGTGAGATCATCAGAGCCCGAATCTTCTCCCTCGCCCTAATTCTGGGAGGAGGACTCAAATGGTGGCGACACACTTCGGACTCTTAGTTGCAGGTGTTCATAGGAGGCGGTAGTCACTTACCATGAGGTAATCCATATGCTTGTGTGCCCCCTATTTCATAAAAAAAAGAAAAGAAGCAGACGCCAGTCTAACAATTCAGATTTGTGATTTTATCATAACTCTCAGACAGATATTAAAAGTACTGATCCGGGATAAGATAGCTTCTCATGACCTGCCGATATGTATATAATGGCATTTGCTTTGCAGCATCTGGAATTTAAGGATTCGCTGTGCCCGAAACGATTGGAATTTAATAAAGAGTTGATGAAAAATACCAAATGCAGAATTTTGTAAAATTTATATTCATTTAGAAATAATGCCTTTCGTCTTATTCGTGAGCTTATTTATTAAAGTTAAAATATAAAAAGAAAAAATATAAGATGAATTATATTATTAATAGTGTTACAATGTAACTTTTTGGAAGCTGTAAGGACACACAAAATTTAAATATGCGTCGTTGAAGCCGTTAAAAATAGCTAGAAACCCATGCTGACGTCTGATTTACTAGTTAGGCAAATAGGTAATTCTTATTAATTGCATTCTCCAGCCAGCCAAGTTTCTTCTAATGTTTGATAGATAGCAATAATTGTAAAAGTGAACTAAACCCGTGTGACACATATATAATAGAGGTTGTATTTATATGAATTAAATAAATTTATTATTGTTATTATCTAAAAGGCATATGAAAATTATTTCACAGTCTATCCTATAAAATATATTTTTTATTTTGCTATCCAAACATTAATTTATAAAAGAATTTCAACCCAATAATCACGGCAGTTGTTACAAAATATGCTCATAAATAAAAATAAAATGATGCTATTACCATATAAAAGTGAGCTCCAAAATAATATAAATGCTTATAAAGAACTGGATATCACTTATGGTCGGTCCATTAAAGGACATGTTTTGTGAAAAAATTACTGAAACAAAATGAAAATAACCGTTTATATCCATACGAATACTATAAATGCGAAAGAGTGTCTATCTGTTATCTCTTTACGTTTAAATCACTGAACTGTTTTAGATAAAATTTGGCGTAGATAGAGTTTGAGTCCCGCGCAAGGACATAGGATAGTTTTTATCCTGGGTCGTATATATTTGTCCTGGGTCGGAATCGAACCCAGGACCTCTAATTTCGCAGTCAGGATCACTAACCTCTGGACCAAAAGGCCTGTCTAAGTTAAACATTAATTATATTTTAAATGTTTTTCAAATATTTTGTTTTACTACTCGTATTTCTGTTACAAAACATAAAGTTTTGTATAAGCGATCAGCTCTTTCTCTTTTCTGCTCCTACTCGAGGAAGAGGAAGGTTTGAAAAAAAAAACAACATTACTGGGAGGGAAAACGTGAGCAATAGAAAATAAATTCAGTATTACCGCTGCTGCTAGGTGCGCAGGTGTAGTTCCCCGAGTCGTGTGGCGCAGCCCGCGCTATGAGTAACCGACTTGTGCGCGTGCGTTGTTCCGTCTCCACACTAATGCCCCCTCGTTGTGCATAGTTCACCACTTGTTCGCCTCGGTACCAGTAGATAAAACTGTGGACAAATAGAACGAATATATTATTTGTTGCCTAGCATATTTAAAAAATTTGTTTTTCCTTACTCATTCCTTCATTCAAAAAAGTAACAAATATACAGAAATTTTAAACGCCATTAGTTTAATCACTATCGGCAAAAAAATTACTTGTTTCTTACAATAAAAATCCGTTTCGAGAACGTTTGGCAGAAAATCGTGTCGTTGTAATATGTAGGCGATCTTATTTCCAATGTACGTATATATACCGTGTCCCTAATTTTTCAAAAGAGGTCTTAGTTTTGTTCATTTGCCTCTGAAATCGGAAATATTTTTTTACCTTTGGAGTACGATAACCCATTGCATCGATTGCATCGAATCATGTTCATACATGTTGGGCGGCAGTAGCGGTGCGTATTCGCGGTATTTGTCATTTGTTTTCAATTATTCTCGCGATTAACACATATTGTTTTAGATTTAAAAGATGGCTATGGAATCTTCACAAATGTGTTTCGGAGATTTATCATCATCTCTTACAACGAAAGATTCTATACAAACGCAAGGACATCACAATCAACTTACCACCTTTGATGAAAACCTTGAGGAACCCTTGCCATCTACCTCTTAAATGTTAAGTTATGAAACTACTACAATAATAGGAAGGAAAGAGTTTATCACCCCTAAGTTAGTTGAAGCTTTAGATAGATGTCAATTAAGCATAAGAGATTCTGTCTATATATTCTTCAGGCTATAGTATAGAAACTAGATCTTAGCTGTGATGATTTTCTGATAAACAAATGGTCCATTCAATGCACGCGTACAGAGATTCGAAAAGATAGAGCGGAATCTATAAAATCAAATTTTCAGAATAAGATGCCTGAAATGTTGACCGTTTACTGGTATGGGAAATTATTACCTGGACTTGACGTGAGAAGCCCTGACGAAAAACGCCTGTCAATTCTAATTTCATTAGGAGAAAAGGAACAACTTCTGGCTGTTCCCAAACTGGAGATCTCTTCCGGCCAGGATCCAGCTAAAGCTGTGTTAAACGCACTTTATGACTGGAACCTCGATGACAAAGTACAAATAATGCGCTGTGACACAACTGCGTCTAATACAGGGCGATTGAAACGAGCTTGTGTCCTTTTGGAACAAAAACTAGACAGGGAAATACTAATAAAAAAACTTACAAAGAGAGAGTTTATATGATTTTGGGAAGAGATACATTCTATCTGAAGAAGATATGTCTAATTATTTGTATGATAAGTAGGAATACAATACATAGTACTTTTATACTGTTTTCAAGTTTTGTTTATATTTTTATACTGTTTTCAATAAATTGATAATAATACTGCTTTATTTATAATTGTAGAAAAATCATTAAGTGATTTTGTGTCTGTCAAGAGCACTTTATTTTCTCGATTAAAGTGATAAGAATTTCCTCCAGAGATCCGTTTGTACATGGGATGAAAATGTTGCCCATCTAGACGTAAAAAGAAAAGTGCTTTCTTGAAGGCCAGTTAATAACACAGCTGAAGTATCAGTTACGAAGTCACGAAGTACCCGTAGAGGGACTAACCTATATACAGATAAAAATATAAGCAGATATGATGTAAACTATAATCAGTAAAAGAACCAAGGAAAAGAGAAGTGATATTACTATGTTTCAAAAGCTAGCTGTTTATCGATGTTTTTTCCATCGCCTCTGGTCTCTAAACTAAATCCAACAATACCCTTTTCTCTCCAAATACGATTGTAGGTGGTAAAATAAATGTGTACGCATGACAAATATTTTCCTTTTTCTGGCTTTGTTAAGTTTGACAAACACAGCTCTTCGAGTCAGACCCATGTATAAGGGATTTAAGTAAGCCGTTTTCACAAGAATAAATGATGTTGGCCTTTTCAAAAGAATATAAGATTGAAAATGTATTGGTACATTACTGATTATTTCGGTATTATTACGATAAAACAAGCTCTTAAAAATGTTAAAAACGGGACATACATTGAAATAAACTGTAGAAATAAAAGTTTTTATACAGCATGACTGAAGCGTCCATGACAACCGGCGAATTAGGCGGTAGATCCGAGAGGACCTACGTCTGGGACCCTGACCTATTCGAGCTATTGCTAACACTTCTCACTCCATCCGTTTAAGTCACATTCTTTTCCTCCTTTGACTTTTCATCTTACCTTCCTGCATTCGACTGCCTTGTTGGTCTAGTGGTTAGTGATTCTGAACGCCTAGGCCAGGGGTTGTGGGTTCGATACCCACCCAGAATAAATTATTGTGTGACGAGCACGATGATTTCTTCTACGTTTAGGTGTGATTTATCTATCGCGGTCTGGTTGCTATAGTACAGGTCTAGTTTGGAATCAGACTGCCGTGTGTGATATGTATAAAGTAAAAAAAGAATAAAACCTATTTTCCCTTTCAATAAGTTCCGAACTTTGACATCTTTAATTACCGTAGTGCCAGGTTGCAGGTGTGGAGGAACAGTTGTCATGTCCCTTCAACACAAAGGGAGGATCCTTCGACCGGGTGAGGTGATTATGCCTGGCGGTCATGGTTCATATCGCGATACAAGATTAGCAGTTACTCCAAGTGTTTTAAGGTAAGTGTTTTATGAGTAGAGAGAGTACGGCAACCTATACTTAACATATTGAATTGTCATGATTTTTGATTTTCATAATATTTAAGATAATATTTGCCAATGTATTGCCATATTAAAATACACACAAAGCATCACCCACAACTAGTCATTTAACGTACTTTAGGTGTCTGTAAGCCATACGTGAGTGATGAGGGAGACAGTGTTCTACTCGATCGGCACGGTGACCACGTTCAGCGTTGTGATTGGCTACTAACTCCAAACTAAACTCTTCACCAATCACATCGAGTCGCTGTCAAATAAACTTACAGTAGGCCCTCTGATCTCCGCAAATTTGTGAGCGATTACTGATAGCATTACGTTAAATTTCAGTCAAAGCCCACAGGCAAAAAAAAAAATGTTTTCTCTGTTTTTAAGGGTAAGAAACACAGTGCTACTGCAACCACATGTTCATACTGTAGCAAAATCTCAATATATTTGCTTGCTGCACGAAGGAGATGCTTACAAATATGTGACACAAAATACACTATTATTTGCCACATATATGTCCTGCTTAGGAAAGCATTTCCTTCGTGTTGCGAATAGAAAAGCTAATCTTATTGTATGCCATCAAGACTCACGAATGAAGCTCAGAGGGCCGTACGCCGTACGTACTCTATCAAACGAAATTGGAATTTAATACGAAATATACAGGAAACTATGCGTTAGAAGATAAAATAATAACTTTGCTGGCTATTTGTATTGTTTCTTGTCTATTTGTTAAACAACAAAATGACAGAGATATCAATTCTTAGTTTAATTCTATCTTAATCAAATTCTTCAAAGCTCCAAATGCTACGAAACTATTTCACTTAACTTTCATACGATGTAGACGTATGAAAGTTAAGTAAAATAATGAAAAACATATTGTGAAGAAACTAAAATGTAAGTACTTTATTAAAAACTAACTGAGAAATAACATTTTTATATAAAGCCAAAATAAATATTGAGCAGCTTTCTACCTCTCCTACTTAGGTACTAGTCATGTTTATTTTATTATTTTAATAGTACAATTTTTCATCAAAGCGACGACTGGGTAAATATTCCTTATTTAATTCTTAATTTTACTGAGTCATTGCTCTCCCGTAGAAACAAAAATAGTCCTTGGGTACTTTTCATAAAATATACAGAGCGTGACATTTTGATAAGGATTTAAATATTTCTTTAAGTTGATCTCAAAAACATTACATCTAATGTAAATGCTACTCATGTTTAAGTCCTTGTCTGCACCCTTTTTAGCTGTATGTCGTAAGCAACTCAAAATTCTCTGGTAGCACGATAGCTTGTTTGTGATTATCGAATTGGCAGTCCCTCGCTGCCGTTAGGATACCACTGAGATTCGATCGAACAGGACCTTGCGTTCAGGCGGCACGCAAGCGGCTCGTGGCAGTTTTATACTAGGTGAAGTTCTAGATGGCTGCGCAGTGCTGGCATTGTGCTGTTTCAGTGAGTACCTGCGTCAATCGTTCAGTGACTCACTACCTACCCACGGTTCAAGGTTAAGAAAAACGGCACCTACAGCGTGTTGGCGCGTATTACGCGGCTGTTCCAGTCGACGCCATTCGTGGATCACACGAGTCTGATCATGTACCCTCGTGTGTGAAGTCCAGTAAAAGGTGCTAAAACTATCGCAGCCTCCGACGAAATGTTATTCTCATACAAACCGAATGGCCACTACCCGCTAAGGAGCTTAACTTTGCCTGCTCTAGTGATAAAAGTTGAAAAAACATTTAACTTATATAATTCAGTTCTTAATTCATATGGATTCAAGAGCTGAACATATAGAGAGTTTGGAATGTTTTATGTGATAGACATTTAGTCAGTGACGACTCTGAACCAATAAATATATTCCCACTCATGGCTGGACGGGTTTGGTTTCCTAATCTAATATTCATTGCGTGTACATTTATGCAAATTTCAAACTTTTAACTGATCATTTAACTTTTGAAACAGTTTTACCGACTTCAAAGCGCCTAAATAAATGATAAATTGTATTAAACTGTATTTATTATCTCTTAATATTCCATCCTTGGAGGGATAATATTTTCTTTCAATTTAAATGAGACCAACCTAGAGTAGGATCTATTTATCTATTCTAAAAATCTCTATTTATCTATTCTAAAAAAAAGAACGATTGAATTCGGTTTGCAAATGGTGACATTATGCTCGAACAAAACAAAGAAAAACTTGTTTAATTAAGAAACTCTGAACTTTCTAAGTCGATTAAAAGTAACATGTTTCGATATGAAAGTAAAATGAAGTTATCAAAATGATTAAATATAAAATAATTAATCTCTGAGTCTGCTATTGCTAAATTCATAATTTGAAGCTATTTGATATATTAGTAACGGCTAGTGAAATTCTCGTTAACGCTGATTGGTGCTTTCACATCGCTCGACGTGATAATTATTGTGCTGCCCGTTAACCCAGCACCCTCTCGTATCTCTATTGCAACATAGGATAAATCGAAACCACAAACAAATACCTCAGTACATTGGTCTCAATTATAGTTTCGACGAATCGGTTTGCAAACACGTTACACAACACGTACTCATAGTACGTGTTGTGTAACGTGGCGATAATAATTAAAAAACAACTTCAATGTAAATAAAGTAAAAGCCAGTATTTTTATAAATGAATGCTTAGTTCTTTTGTTTTTACTTTGTGTTATTTAAAAGTTTGTAATACATGTTTAAATAACCATCATAATATTTTAAAAATAATGATACAGATCATAATATTTTCAGAGGAGTCGGAAAGATAAACACAACAATGTTTAGTCTTCTTTCTTGTTTTCCATCTTTCTGTAAAATATGAAATAAAAATTGGTTTTCTTTCGACTATAATGTCAAACTGTGTCATGTATAACTAGCTACATTAGATACTCGTATGACTTCTTCGCGTCGGTCAAGACGGCATTTTTTTATTTCACAGTGTTACTAGTTCATTGCAAATAGGTTACTCTCCAAAAGTCGAAACAAATATTTTGAGCGAGGTACAGTTTGATTAGATTACGTCAGAGGCTCGGTGGCATATCCGTCTGACTGATCCGAATTTTGAAATTGATGGACAGCACAGGAAGGGTTTACCCTTATCAAAATAAATACAGTCACAAGTAAGTATGGTTCGAAAGTAACAGGTATTCATGGGCAAAGCGCTTACAATAACAACTACCTAGTTGTTATTGTAATCGCTTTTAAGTCCTAGGAGAGGTTGTATTTTAATTTTTCAATTAAGAATAACAGAATGTAAAACAGTCTGGGTTCTGCATTATAGATTCGTGACCATATGATTAACTAAGCAATTCGGAACTTAAATAGAATTAGTTAGTTACTTGAAAATCGACTTTATTGAAGTTGATGGAGATGATTCTACACCATGCTAAGGTGGACTGGTAAAAAATTTCTGTGGCATTAAGCCCGCCATAGTACATGTTTTTAGCATTAAGTATCAAAATAAATAAACAAATAAACGTAGAACGTTTGGGTCACATTATAAATAATTGTATCTACTGGCGATATTATTGTGAACATAAAAACTAAAGTCTACGTATGAGAATAGTTAGGTATATAATACGCCTTACAAACTTTGTTGATATTATATATTTGATGTTATTATAATATTTTAACCAGTATACATAAATGTAGGTATGAAAAATATTATTATGTAGTTTATGAGGTTAAATTACAGTAAGAATTAATGTATACATACATCTATATATTTATGAAAACTTTCTTCACTACATCTTGCTCATCTCCACGCATCTCATGTCTATATCAGGGTAACCTGTTGCTCCTCAACTTTCTATCCAATGGCGTTACTTTCACCAATGTGAATTCCTCTAATGTATGAGTATTAATTCCTCATCTTGACCATCCGAGTCACATCACACATCAATCTTAACATTTCCATTTGGCAGCTACGTGCGACTTCTTTCCACCGTTCTCTTATTTGGCCCCTATTTAGGACGAAATGTTAGTCTACACACTAATCATTACAGAATGTATTTTAAACTATTTGAGAAGCAAAATAGAAATTCCAAATTCTAGAAAGTAAATTGTAAACTTCCTTTGGAACTATCTGGCTCAAAGTTAGACCAAATATATTTTTGCGCATGAGCATATGATGAGCTCATCAATATTCAGATTGGACGTCCCTCGATAGATCTCAAACATAGAGTACCATTAAACGGTGATAGGCAAAGAATGCCTCACTTACCGACCTCAGCCGACCCTTTTATCTGAAAATAAGCTTATCATGTTTATGGATGCGAACACTAAATGTATGGCCACGATGCGGTGTGAATAGGTGCTTACATGATAACACACTTCCATTATAAGATCGTAAGGTGGAAAGTAGGACGGCCCATTCACCCTTCAAGGATTTGTGTTTAGGATTTATTTGAAGTTACCCAAACACGAACACCAATATCGTACATTGAGTATATTTATTTTTTAGGCGAAAAACATATGTTTTTATAATTTAAAAAAATCGGTTTTAGTAGTAGTAGCATAAACAAACAAATTCACTTTCATATTTACAATATATTTTTAGCTTTTGCCTGAGACTCCGCCCGCGTGTACATACTCGTATATCGATATAAAAGTAGTCTATGTTACTCGCTGATCATGTAGTTTTACATTGATGAAATAATTTTTTAAATCCTTTCAGTGGCAGTTCATACTGGCACACATCGTAACAATGCAGTGGTATATTTAATAATGCCATTGTATCTCTCAGTAAATTGCAAAAGAGTGGGCATGAGTTTGTTTGCCCTTTCTTTGCATAGCACCTTGGAAACGGGCGGTTGTGGATCGGCACAGGCATATCATAGATTTTGTATTAGTATAATTTATTTTACTTACTATTTGCCAAAACAGAGATTGTTGCTATTGTATGTGTGTGTTGATCTCCGACTTTAGAGTCTACATTAAAGACGATTATTACTACGATTAAAGATTTCACAAAAAAAAATTATTTTATGAAATAAACATATTTTGAATTTGGATTTGAGTGGTTTAGGCGTGAAATTGTAAGAAACAAACAAACAAACTCACTTTCACATTTGTAATATAAGTATGGAAGTCAAATATATGGTTGAAAGTACTCTGCAAATTTCTTCTAAAGAAATAAAATAAATATACTTTGACTATTCTACAGTATGTCGTCAAAGTTTCCAATGTAAACAGGTCCTCAAATTGTAGAGCTACAGTAAACTTTCTTAAAAGTGTACGCGCAAGATCAGCGAATATAGAAAACGTACTTTGTTTACATATAGCTCATTTACATGGAAACCTCTTGAGTAGTTCGTTAGACTAACAACTCACGGAAGTCCCTTATTGTCTATATGAAACTTGTGGTTTCAGAAAGATTGTCACTTTTACACTCACACTTTTCACCAAGGCAGCTCTATCATAAATATATATTTTAAGAACACTTTATGAGCATTGTGAAAATAGAAAAAGTGCAGGTATCTGAAGTTTTATATATCATTAAATATTAATTATAAATTTCTGAATTATGTGATATACGTTGGCCTATTATTGTAAATAATGCTTTACGGTGGCAATTCAAGTTATACTCATCCATCGTAACATTTCCATTTGGTAGCTACGTGCTATGTCTCTCCTCCGTTCTCTATCATAAATATATATTTTAAGAAAATCTTATGAACAAACGTGAAAAAAGTAAAATAGAAAACGTTCAGGAATCTAAAGTTTTAATACAATACGTATTATACATTTATGAATTAATCAAAAACTGCCACAGCTCTACGCATCTGATATATTTATACGTTGCCTTCTTATAATATATAATGCTATACAGTGGCAATTCAAATTATAAGGACCAATAAAATAAATAAATAAAATAAGATTCGGTGTGATTCTGACTCAGTAAGGTATTTTACAACCAGCCTTTTAAATAATTATTATCGTTTACTAATATATAAATCATAATTTTGACCTAGACATGTTATATAATAATAAAATATGTTACGGGCTCAATAAAGTAGCGCTTGTTTGCCATGATGTAATATTTTTATAGGTCGGAATGCCGGCAAGTATGACCTAACTGAACAAGATGGTCTCATTACACATTTGTCACGTACGCTGACACAAACGCCTCACTCGAGAGTTATACCTCATTTTCTCTTTTTTATGTTGGCAACCCACACTTTCATCGGTGCTGTTACTAGCGTACCCGAGTTAGAATATAGCGTCCATGCCACTATATCTTTTATCGAACATAAAGCACTCCAAAGAAAAAAGGTTTTATTTTTATTGTCAATGCAGTAGTTTCGCTCGTAAATTTTGTGACAATGTTGCCTTGATGTTAAAACATTGCAATTTATAAATGTAGGTAGTTTTTATAAGTTTTTTTTTTTGATAAACTATGTCTTGAAAGTACAAAGTTCCATTGCTTTTTGTAAAATTACGCACGATTACGATTACGGGTTAGTGTATGTACGAAATTACGAGTATCTACTTATATAATATATATCGCAGAAATATACCGATTATGGGTTTTGGATACCTCGGGTTTTTTATGCTAAGTCATCTTGTAAGCCATGAGAAAGATATGGTAACCTTTAAATAGTAATTATTGCTTTTTTATTTCGTATTAAGACAGGTCTGAGGAAACCCATCAGTAATATAGTAACGATTGTAGATGGAGTATTTAATTGCTATAGTATATAATTGCACAGCTATTGAAAATAATTTTTGTTATTTATTTATTTGCATTTGCATAAAGTCAACCTTTGAGTGAAATAGAGAGTATGATTTATGCATGTGCCAGCTTAAAGTATTGTCAATGTATAGTCTAATATCTCGAACCGAAAGATTGATGGTCAGAAGTGATTAATTAAATATGGTATGATCATCATCCCTGGTTGCCTATTAAGATTTCTTTACATTGGGATAGATTGACCGAAGATCAAACCTGTTTACAATTAACCGGTTTACTAGTGCCTCTAAGTTGACACAAATATACTAGGGACTTATCTTTATCCAACAAAAAAGCAGGATTTGACATTTGAATCTATATTGCTCAAATCATCACATAAATTAACTTTAATATATATATTTTGAAGTAAATTAAATAACACAAAAAATCCAATAGGAAATGAGAAAATATATCCTGTAGCAATTCATCAACATTCTTGTAATGTCTGAGGTCTGGGTGGAGATCTAGAACATTTTTCACATTACTTACCTCGGTGGGTCAGGGGCGTATTTCGCTACGCAAGTGAGATTGATGTCAGATCCGGCCCTGACGAACAGCTCGGGGCCAGACAGGATTTCCGCTTTTGACACTGTTAAAAATGAAACAATTTATTATTAGTTCGTCTAAATAAATAAAAATCTAAATAAATAAAGCAAAGTATATTCCTTTGTATTACACAAAGCTAGTCCTCGCAAATTAGATATCCTATCATTTAAGTTATGTAATTCCTCCTTCTTTGAGTCTTTAAGGTTTTTTTTTTTGCATGGCTCATTTACGTTTATATTAATTTTTTGCCAATCACGGTTTTATCAGAGTGAGGTGATTTTCTAGATTCTAGATATTTTGTACGTTAATACGAGTATATTACTAAGATGATCTTAGCTCTTTATATAAAACGTCATCTATTATTACATCACTACATTTTATGCTTTACAATACCTCTAAAACTGTGGTGTACAAATAAAGTATTTTGTATCTGTCTATCTATCTAATATAAAATCTTAGTAATTTAAATATGAACCAATATCCCTCAATTTATTTAGCATTAAATACGTAAACAAACTTTTAAATGCAGGATTCCTTATCTTACAAGTTTGATAGTGTTTATGTGCATACTACGATATCTGAGCTAAAGAAACTGCTTCGACAATATATGTATTTTATCAAAATAATAATCAAAAATAAATGTGATTTCCAATACAGTGTATATGAATTCGATTTTTTATTTGCTAATCTAAATAATCCAAGTGATTAAATGTATCATCAACTGTAAGTTGCTGCAAAATGTTTAAATAGTTTTAATTATGGTTTTTACATACGTAAGTATGTTGTATATTAGACCATTGGTCTGTAATCTTTAGTTTTAGTCAGTTTAGTTAATAAATATGTTTTACCTTTATATTTACAATATCTATCTATACATGTATTGGTCTACTGCTTCTATCGGCTGACTGTTTGTATCTAATTTATTTATGTATTTTGCTGAAAACCAGTTTCCAAAAACAATTAATTAATTAATTATTAATTTGGGTCTATAAGTCCCTAATATTTTCACAGTTCCATAATTACCCGTGTAAATTTAATTGCTAGTCTTTGGTATATACAGCTTGTTGCAAAACATTGACCACTAATTAATAGGATTTAATCATACTGAAACAAAGATAATTGGTGATTAAGGCTCGCTCTTTTGGTAGTCCAGGTTTTTTAATAAGGTGGAATGTGTTAAAATTTCTTAGCAACATTAGTGATGAAATAGACAAAAAAGGGTTAATATTACGCCTCATTTTTTGCGATGAAATTTTAGCAAATCTTTTCTGACTATACCTAAATTAGTTTAAGCCCGAGATGAAAATATTCTCATGAATCCCCTTTGTTGGAGAAAGAAACCACAATTTTTTACTACTTATCACCAACAAGAAACTCTACAGCATTCATTGTTTTTAACCGACATCAAAAAAGGAGGAGGTTCTCAATTCGACTGTTTTTTTTTTTTTTTGTTTGTTACCTCATAACTTTCGACTGGGTGAACTGGGTGGTTTTAGTCGGTTCGAGTCCGACACACCGCCCCGCCGAACGAGAGCCCCGGCGGGGTGACGGTCCGAGGGGATTTCCACACGTTAAAAACAAAAAAAAAAAAAGGGTTTGTGTCAAGTTTTCCTTCTCTCTGCAGTGCTGGTGTTCTGTGTAGTTTTTTCCCTTAGTCGACTCTTACGGCACCCACGGGATGAATAGGGGTGGTGACACTCCGTATTCTTAATCCGTCACCATCAATGTATTTTTTTTAATTCGAATAACCAGATGCAATCTATAGTTAGGCTCATCATGACCATCGTGAAAAATATAACTTTCTGAATTCGATTTCAAGTTACGTAACTAACACGAAACTTTTAAGTTTAATAACTTCAAGATAGGAACTACAGAAGAACGGCAAACTTGTTAACATCGAAGGAAATAAAAAACCTTTCACAGATTTTCGTATTCATAATAAATATGTATTTCACGTTACGTAAATATTATCCTATGTAAATATTTGTAACTTCTTTATTTTGACGTTAGATTGTAAATATATATTACTTTCTGGCACTTAATTTTGAATCATATCTAAGCATACTAACTGAGTTACTTTAGTCGACCTGAGATGTATTTTTGATGATTATGTATACTTTGAGATGTATACTTTGCGAGTTACGAGTAATAGAAGACGGTTCATAGAGAACAACTCAGTGGGCATGGAAACATGAGAACTCAGTAGATGAGTTTAAAAAAAATATATATATGAAAATAAGATATCATTTTTAAATGTATGTGATGTGTGTAACTTTGGACCCAATCGCACACCTTGGAACCTAATGAAGAAAATATAGAACCTATAATTTATTATATTTTGTGTTTTTGAAGTAGGTTCAAAAGGGTTATTATAGGAATTACATTTCGTTATACACTATTATAGACATTAAATATCTAAACTCATTTGAAAAGAAAACCATGCGGTTTGGGACAAACTAACAGTAACTACAGTAACTTACCGACAACAGTAAGCCTAAACGACAAGCTGATCTTTGGTTCTGTAGAAACTTGGCATTCGTACGCTCCGGAATCTCGCGGCTGTGCAGGTGATACTCGCAGTGTCCACTCATCTGATCCGTCTGCGTGAAGTGCGGCAAATCTTGCGTCACTGCTATATGTATGAACTCCAACTGTCAAGATGTGAAGGTCACGCTTGCGGATCCAGGATACCTGTGGAACAAATAATAATTACTTTTGGAATTAAGCTACGTGAAGAATCGGGTAATTGTGTTCGTATCAGAACTTTATAATCACGGCACGTAGTTGCTATGTGGAATATGTCACGTAAAATTCCTGCACTCTTTTTTGAAATACCTACCGTTTTGTTTTAATTTTAAACGAAGAGCTGAGCTCAAGTACAATATCTTCATCATTTTTATTACCAATATATCAACTACATAATTAATACATTTGATTTACACCAGTCTATATTGATTTATCGGTGTAAATATTACATTACATGTACGAGCACTAGAATAAATTACAGCTTCGGGATGAAAATTGAAATAAGAATCTTAGTTCGATTGAATTAATTCATTCGGTAAAACTATGAATGAATAATTTACGTGAGTCTGCAGGTTATTTTAAACGTCTCTACATTAAATGGTTGATGGAATTAATCGGTAATTGAGCATTGCCGTATGTCTGATTTTCAAGTGAAAAATGTAAGTAAAACTTTTAAACATGTTATGATGCCTTAATGCCGATGTAGAATTAGTTTCAAGAATAATTATTTTAATCATTCCTAAAATATGACCTATTATTATTAAATTCAATGCTTTAAATTATGGTTGTGAAGGAAGTTTACACTCGATAATTGATTGTACACCATCAATTTCTTAAAACAAACACTAAACAAGCAATACTTTGAGTCGATATTACTACTACTGTTTTAAAAAAAATTGTTCTATTTATTTTTGTTAATTTTTATTGTAAACATCTGCGTGGTTTAATAATTAGTAAGCGGTTTTCATCTATACAAATAAATAAAATTGGAGTGTCTGTTTGTAATATTAAAATAACCGCTTTTTACTAAATGCATATGTATGTTTACACGGTACATATGCCAAAATAACAGTTTTTACAATTTTTGTCTGTCTGTCTGTCTGTTTGTTCCGAGTAATCTCTGGAACGGCTTAACCGATTTCGACGGGACTTTCACTGGCAGATAGCTGATGACATAAGGAGTAACTTAGGCTACTTTTTTAGACTAGCTTCGCCCCGCGGCGTTGCCCGCGGTTATAACAACAAACGCGGGTAACACCGCGGGTCTCAGCAAGTAATTTATAAAGTTCCATTTGTTTGTTATAAACTAAGAATTATTTTGTTATATATAATACTATAAACTTAATTTAACTAAAATTTAACTTTGTATACAAAGTAGTTTCAACCCCCCAAAGGGCACCCAAAGGATGGTAACTTGTATCTCTTGAGAAGCAAATGTCCATGAGAAGCGCCAATAATTCTAAAGACATCAGAAACATCAAAAAAGACTTCTATTGCGATAGCGAGCAGCTTTGCAGTGTTCCACCATTAACACTGCCTCAGACCAATTCTTTGATTTCACTTCGGGTGTGTCAAGCCTGATACCGACGCGGCTTGTCAATTCATCCCTTGATAAAAGCTATCGGAGATCAAAAGCAAGTAAAGTGTTCACGAAATATACTCGTAAGAAAAATCATGTATTGTTGTAATACGGAGTTATTACTATCAATGAGCTCTTCAGAATAATAGGTTTCGACAATAAAATACAATCAACATATTTTATAGGTTATATTTGACATTCTTGATTGAAAGTAAATAACATATGTGTAAATTTAAATAATAATTAGGCAATATGTGCAAGAACTTCATATAATAACGTATGTATATAAAGAGATAGGTTTGAAATACGAATCCCAGTTATTGATTGACATGATATTATGACAGCTATTCTATTAGTCCATGGGTACTGATACTTATGAGAGATAGTTCATAGTACACCTTTTTTGTTTCACTTAATTTCTAGGTAAATCTAATTGGTAACTTGATACTGTTAAATAAATGATTACTGTTACTATCAAATAATTTATTTATATTCATACGCAGTTGGAGTATTCTGATTGGATAACCACGTTACTATAAAAGGATGTTTAGTATACATAAGTGTTGAAGATGGTCCATATTAATGATAATGAAATGAAAATTAGGGTTAAGAAATGATCAGTTTTCTTATCAATTCAAAAATTCTTTACAATTTAGTACTATACTATAATTTGTTAAGAGTATTTATTATTCAGTAGAATTAGTTCTATACTATAATTAAGTACTATTTGATCAGACAAAGGCTATGCGTTTATTTCTGAGGCAGATAATACTAAACTTTATACTTTTATAAAAAAAATCTTTGAAGTTAGGTGTTAGTCAAGGTCTATGAATTTTTTAATAGTCTTTTTTTCATCACTATATTCTGATCATCATACATTTTTCAGTACATTTTAATGCAGAATTTTTGCATTAAGAAGTATCATCACACCTCTTGTTGTATTAGGTAGTAAGAAATTAGTTTTTACAAACTTTCCGGAACGATATTGAATGATTACTATTTACTTTAAATATCTAATTTAAAGTAAATAGAATAGGAAACGTAATATTGTCAAATATTGTTTAATTATGGCTACCAAGTGAAAAAAATAAAAAAACCCAAAAGAGCATGTCGAAAACTATAAAGTTACCCATAATCAAAGCTACGGGCAAAACTTTCTGAGCTGTATGCGTTTCAAATTACTGTACTATTGTGTAGTGATTTTTCATACGTATGTTTGAATAAAATTTTAGTTGGATGTTACGGCATAAAGTTTATTAATGTCTGTAAAACTATAAGTATTTATGACACACGACAAATAACCATTACTACATAATGTTGCATTGTATCATTGTAACAAGGGTTGCACTATAGTTATTATGCACGCGCTTGGGAATAAAGTCTCAACCTCGTTGACAGCAAATGAAAATTGTTTTTTGAGTCGTTGCATAGATAAAAAAATTGTAGTTCGCGCCTTTGTGGATTGATATTAAACTGATAAATATATATATAAATTTAACAACATCAAAGATATTCAAAACTGTACATAAGTACAGTTCAAAGTAAGTATCTTGAAATATATTAATTAAACTTAATAATCAGTTCACTAGTAAATTTTTCATTACCATAATTACAATAATAGGGAAACGTACAACTTTTTGAAAAATTGACTTAAAAATAAAACCCCAACGGGGATTTATTCTTTCAAGTGTCTAGATGATACTTTTTTTAAATTTTCAAAATCAAAATGGTATCTTTTTTAATCTTAATTTGTAAATAACAACTGCATTTTTTTATGTGCTACAACATACTTTCGATACATTTTTCTGGACGCCATTGCGAATCGAATGAGCCATCGCTCATATTTTTAGGATCTTTATTAAGAATTAACACGTTTTTGAACTTGTTGACTAGCCTAATATAATTATTACTCATGAAAACTTGGGCATGGGGAACAAGCCGTGGTCTTAGTTTTATTAAATTTGTTCGCGCAGACTTAAAGCAACACGTCGCCGAAATTATGCGCTCACTGACGGCGCTGTCACTGTTCCACGAGACAGCCACCATCATCTTCTTATGGGTAATCATTTCTTTAGAGCACTGATTAGGTGCTGTACCTGGATCCTTATCTATCTTTTTTTCTTTCCGATTTGACGCAAGTTCTTTAATGTTGTTTTGCAGCAAGCTCAGCCGTAGATTGATCCAACATCCGCTTCCTCTATCGCCTTTAAATAGTCGTTGTCGACTATAGTTACCAGGTTCGTTCTTCAAATCAACATTTCCAGATCAAAAACGATTGAACCAAAAATGGACAGTGTTTATGCAGTATTAGACCCGTGAAAATCGTGAGAAAACGTGGTTAATGTTTCGTGTTGTTTGCGCAGCAGTATTTCCACGTAGCAACTTATAATAGAAAATAGTGCGAATTTTCAGTTTATTAATGGCACCGAAAACTACCACAAAACATTATCTAAAACAGATGACTGAAATTTCAATTATAATAACATGGCTTTCGATTAAAATTTATTTGTATTTCGAATTGCGTGCCAATTCACAGATAATTAAATCTGAAAATGCTGGTTTTAAAATCTCCAACTTCATAGGTAAACAATTACCTCTTATTATGTTCAAAGTCAATACAATACCTAATTGTTGGTAACTTAACTTAATGAATTTTGTTTTTTTTTTTCCAAAAAATTACTAGGACTACCAATAAAACAATTTTCTTAAATTTACAGTACTTTTTTAAATTCATCATTTGTTAGCATTACTCATTAAAAGTTTAACTTAAAAAATACAGTCTATAAGTAAATACTAGTATGAAGAAGAAATTCCTAATTAATACGGTGCCATTACGTAAACTATTAATAAGGCTTGATTAATGTCGGGTTTTGTAATTAACAATATTTACCAATCAAAACAGCAGTTTAATAATCTAGACATAAATTATTTCTCATGTTTCATTAAACTGCCTTTGTGTATTGTGTGGCTTGTGGATAGTTTATATTAAATTAGTTCGCTTTTACTTGTTATAGTTTTACATCATTTTGAAACAAATAAACAAGTACATTAAAGGGCAATGGTAGGTCAGGATACATAATTTTAATTGAAGTGAAATGGTATCTTTTAAATATCAAGAAGTACCTAATTCACTTTAAAATTTATTTTTGAGCATTCTAGCCAAACTAGCGAAAGAAGTCTAGGAAAAAGAAATTGGATTCTGAATGTTTTGAAGTTAAGTACTAACAGATTGTCAAAAACATTTGTTTGACATGTTAATACTCATAAGCAACTCTATTTTGCTGTTTATAGTGTTAGCCGACTCTCTAAAAGGGTAGAGGTTATTTGCTTGTTATGTGTTTATAAAACAATAGAAAACGACTCTGTTTACCAAGCAGGTGTAATACTGTTATGTGCCGTTATCATCGACAATGTCTTTTTCTCATCGTTCGGTGAAGTATATTGTTTTTTTTTCGAGTTTAGATTTGTTTTATTTAGTATAGCAGAAATTCGTTAAAAAAGAGTCAAACACATTCAAATTTATTTCTAGTTATGTTGATTTAGTCACTCTACCAAACGACTGAACCCGTGGGCAGAAGCAAATTCA